AGAAGAAAAAATTTAGTTTACACTTGGTCTATCATATATGCTAATATATGTTAAATTTTGAATTCTAAGACTTTAGTTTAGAATTTATAAAGATTATTTGAAAAAATGATGATATTATAGTTTAAAAAATATTTTTCTATGATCTACTTAAAAGATTAAGTTGATAAAACCTTTAAATATGTGATTAAGAATAATTTTTTTTAATTGGTTTTATGATTTAAATTTAAGGTGATTTTTAAAAAACTAATTTTTAAATTTTTTTAATATTTATATCGATTTTATAGAAAATATGGCATTAATTAGATTTTTTTAAGATAGGTGGTAATTTTTAATAAGGACTAAGATATTTTATTGATTTTTATAAGATATGATGTTTTTAAATATCTAAGATAGAACCTAGGTCTTCAAATGCAATTGCCTTATTACACAACTTAGTAATAAAATCTTAGGTTGTTTAGGTACTACCATTATTTTTTATAAATTTGGTTTTTAAATCGGCATTAAATAAATTTATTATATTATTTTTTTATTATTTAATTTTTAGATAAAATATTTGGAATATTTATTTTTATAGTATTTTTATAGTATTTTTATTTTTATTTTACATCTAATTATTTATTTTTTAAAAAAATATTTTCATAACTATTGATTTTTTCTAAATATCTTTTAATATATATATATATATATATATATATATATGTATAATAAATGTACTTTAAATATTTAAATTAAAAAATCTAAATTTTAAAAAATCAACATTTATCAATAGAATTCAATGTATTATTTTGTTTTACCACAAAAAAAAAAAAAAAAAAAAAAAAAATGCCAACCAGACCCTCACACACTTGGATTTAGATGTTTTAGATGTCATGAATGTCAAGGTAGCTAATATTTAGTTTATAATTTTTTGAGGATCTAAAGTAAAAAAATAATTATAAAATATATTATTGGTAATTGATATAAAAACTATATATTTAATTATTTTATTTTTAAATACACAAGTATCATATATATTATAAAATGAGATATAAATTCCATATAAATTTGTTTTAAAAACAATTCTACCTATTATATTGTATTAAAAATAATAATAAATAATAAAATATTTTTCAAAATATATAATATTTATATATTTCTTTTTAAATAATTATTTTAGAATCACAACTATTGTTTAAGATTTTTATTAAATTAATATTTTTTAATTTTTTAATTTTTTATGTTTGAATATCTTTCTATTATCTATCTTTAATTGACTAAAATTAAACCATTAATTTTATCTTATAAAGATTTTATTCATACAATTTATTAATATTTATATTTTTGATTCTATAGTAACTTAAAGAAGCATTATCAAAATTTACCAATGTAATTTCAAGGACATAAATCTCAAAGAAAGAAAACCTTAATACACTCTTATGTCACTCAAAAAGACTAAAAAATCATTCAAAGATGATATAGTATTAAACTAGAATGGCTATTACAAAAGGTAAGAAGACTAGAAAGTCTTGAAATAAGACTAAAGACTAAAAAGGCATTCATGAGAATGAAAAAGGCTTCACTCTTGCCTCCATATATATCCTTAACTAGGAGCTAAGTGGCAATGTTCTGTAAGACCTCCAAAATATATTGACTTTTAAAGATATGTATCTTAACTTGCAAGGTAAGTTTTCTATATGTGCATCATATAATTAACTTATTCCACATGCTATCAATACATGGTTTACTTGTTATCCAAGTTTCTAACCTACTAATCAACTACAAACACATATTAAGTCAAAGCAGCATCTGTGAAGCTTCTAAAAAGCTACTTTAAAAAATATTATAAAATAAATATACTTTTATCTACTTCTATTTAATCATATTAGTTAATATTAGAATAAGTATATATGTCATAGACATATAATTATATAATCAAATAAAAAATAAATTAAGAAAATTAATTGTTTGATTAAAAGATTGATAACAAACACACAATCAACCTTTGCTACTCATTATTTTTATATAATTATATTCTAAATCATTTCTAAAATAAATTGACTTATGAAGAAAATTATTTTAACTATTAATAGCCTATTCTACAACTATCATGAAACCATCACTGTTGTTTAATCAATTTTTGATTTTTTTTGTGTTGTCAACAAATTAAGTGAGGGATTTTTGCTAGACTTAAGATTTGGCATTTATTTACTTAATGAATTACATCCAAATAGTGTCTGCATTTGATTAACAAGAAGTTTTAATTAATAAAAATAGTGTTTCTTTACCTATGATATGATTGACAAGTGTAAATGATCATATCTATATAACTTCTAAGTTGATTTCAATACAAGATCAATATTTATTAAAGTCTGAGTTGCATTCATCTTTCTCAAAAGTTTTTTTCTAACTTACTAGTAATGTATTTTTCTTACTTATAACTGTAAATTTATTATTTATTTGTATATTTTAATGTAATTATAAATCTTGTAACTATGCATATTTTTCAAAAAAATTTAAACAATAGGTATGATTAATGTTGCTTCTTTGTCTTAAAATATAAATGAGAGTTAAGATTACATTCTTAAAATATTGCCGCACTATCATTTTTTAAAAAATTTAGTAACTATGACTTTTTTTTTGATGGTCTTTAAATCATCAAACTTAATAAATATATATATATATATATATATATATATATAATATTGACATACTATATGTATCTTCTATTCTCTAATCAAAGACATCTAGAGAATCATGTGATGAGTTTAAACTATTTGTAATAATTGATGTTGTTTGTTGTAGATAGCAATCAAGCAATCCTTGTATTAAGTACACATACAATTTGTAAGCTATCCAGATGCCAAAAAAAACCTTATAAGTTAATTACTACACTTCTAATCCTAATTCCAAAAAAAAACGTAAAGCTTGGTCACTGCAAGTAAGAATAAAGCCCGGTGCTTTTAGACAATCAAATGTTGAGAATTCACAATGTTAGAATCAAGGAATTGAAAAATAGCTCAAGTAAAGTTGTCCCCCCCCCCCCAAAAGGCTCTCACCAAAGGGGGGTTCAAGTCTACGAGACATTCAGGGAACGGTGCTGAAAACAAGCTAATAATTGGGTCTCAATAATGCAATCACAGAATAATGAAGCCAGAGCCAGAAAGGGGGAGGCATCAAAAAGGCACTGGGGTCAGAAAAAAGTAACAGCACCTGTGGGAGTCAAAGGGAGTTGACCCAGACGGGCATGGGCGGGGAGTGGGGGGAGGGAACAACGGGGATGGGACGTGTTGGCGCGGGTATCGGATGCGGGATCCCTTTGACTGGGACAGAGGTTCGAAATTTGGCGGGGGTGGGAGGGGGGATTCAAGCGCCAGAAATCGCTCGCGTGGCCCCAGGCGCATTGAAATCTCTGCCACCTTGCCCTCCCCTACCCTGCCATGTTAATGCTGTTGGCTTTGCGAATGCAATGCCATGCTATTCATTTCCAATGCAGTGCAGTCGCTTTGAAGGACTTATTGCAGCAGCGAGACCTGCAACCCTCCGGCTACAATCCTCTGGAGCGTTCGGCGCTTTACTGTGCTGGGCCCGAGAGGAGTTCGTATTCTCGTTACCACACCGGAATCCGACATCCGGCGTGTGAAGTCCCACACTTGTTTGGCCGTGCTGGTACCTTCACGACATGCGGCAGATCGCGGGGAGTTGGTGGCACAAGCAGTAGGGTATGGCTGAGATGGGCAGCTCGTCGCGGATGACCGTGGATGAGAACTATCTGACCCTCCCTATATTTTATTTTTATTTTTATTTTTACGTCTCTCTGATTCGATGCGGTTGTTGGAAGAGACATGTGTTTGACAAAATTGGGGTCCACATACGCAAGTTCGAGATCAGATTTTGCAAATACACCTGACCTATGTTGTGGGATTGCCCGTAGACCGGCTTCATTGCGGTACTGGCCGTAGAGGTGTCTGCTTTGGCATTGAAGAAGTGGGACCGGCGGATTCTTTTTCACCGTGCAGGTGCTGTGGCAGCCTATTGCTGCTGGAAGTAAGGGTAGCAGTTCTGCAGCAGGACTGGATCCAAAAGCTCTCGATCCAGAGTTCATTCTTCATTTTCGGCGCAGGTGATGGTCAGCGTCAGCAACTGAAAAACCATACTTGATGGAGGAAGGCTGCTGCTGCTGTCGTTGTACCGTCCAGTGCCGATGGCGAGAGGCACAGGCTGGGCCCCCCACGTTATAATTACTGCGCCTGCAGCCTTTACCAGGCGAACTCTGGTTGCAAAGCTGGGACCGGAAAGCAGCTGCAACAGGGGAAATGGAAGTGACCCGCTCAATGCCCTGACCATTCCAAAACATCTGCCCACGCAGAAGCAGCAGAAGAATGAGAGAGAGAGAGAGAGAGAGAGAGAGAAGAGAGGACGACTATCAACATCTTCTGCACTAAGACCGTGACGGAGAGGAGAGGAGAGGCCCGAGGGGTTTGCAGCTTTGAGTCTGTGAGCTGCTAAAGATGGTTGAGGTGTCGGATTGGACTCTGCGTCTTGGAAGACTTCTCCCGCTGAGTTCCTGTACCGGAAGGCGTTGTCGGTTCATTGTTTTGGGGTTGCAGTTCTGAGTGAATCGAATGTGGCGACCGAGGGAGTGCAATTGAAGGGAGGTGATTGTGGAACAAGTGACTGAGAGTGATTCTGAGAGCGGAGGGGGCTGGTTGTTGCGCACAGGGTAATGGAGAGTCATTTGAGATTCCTGTGAGGAGGGAGTGTCAATTGCACTTTCTGGGTGCAACTGATTGAAGTGTATTGAGGTTTTCGCAAATTGGAAACGCTGTTGATGGAAACCGAGTTTAGAATGAGAGATACGAAGTTGATCGGTTGCGTAACCATCGGGAATTGAATACGACGAAAACGACATCACGTTGATGGTTGTGGGAACTGCGTTGTGCCTCGGATCCTCACTAGTGTGTTGGGGAATGATGGCAGCGTCTCAAAGGAGGGGTACTTGAGAGAGAAGTGCTCAACTTTTCCAGTGCGGCTGATGCAAGTCTTTCTGTATGAAGGAGGTCAGCTTATTGTGAGGGATAATACGTTGTCTGCTGCGTTCCTTAGCTTCAATGCTTCGGCGGTGTGGAAAGGGAACGGAAGTCAGATGCTAACATCGATGCTATAGTTGTCCAGGACTGCATTACATACGCTAAGCATATCTTGAGGCTTATTTCAATATCTTGCTTGTTTCGATTGCTACCATAGCGATTTCGTCAAGAGGGTTGATTGCACTGACGAGAGATGAGATGTGCGGCTTTGAAGCTAGTGGTTGGGAGGCCGCAGTTACCAGTGTCATCTGAGGTGTGAGGTCCCTCCACCCGAACATTTGAGGACGAGGAATTGGGCGACTGAGCTTTCGTAGTAGGATCAAAATGCCCAGGCCTCGGCACTTGGGGCCTTCCCCTTCATTAAATAGGTCTTTGTCGAGACTGTCTTCGTCATCATCTTTCCCCTCACGGCACTCGAATTCAAGAATCTATACATTTCTGATCGTCGTTGGTTTACTTCTGTTTGCTGTCGTTGCTTTCTTGCAAGCATGTTTAATCGGGGCCCCACAAGGATCCAAGCTCAGCCCTCTTGAGCACACAAAATCAGGTTTGTGTCTCTACTTCTGTTTGAACTCGAGCCCTGTCAAGGTTTTGCATCTGAAACTTTCTTCTCGTGCACATCCAAGCAGGTAGTGGAATGTGTTGAATTTCTTATTCTGTCCTCGAAAACAGTGCTTTAGCAAACGCATGTTTCTAGTTCAAACGATGCACCTCTTTGCAGAATGTCTCGGTTGATTAGGAAATAGGGAAAAGATTTTTATGCTGTACGTGTCTGTTAGCCTGTAACAACTTCCAATTATATCCTCCCTATCCTGAACATTTAAGTATGATAATTCCTCTGTTTATTTTTGCGTTTTGGGCTGATTTTACCAATTTCACGCCTCGGACACATGATCAAGACTCTTGTCCTAGTGCAGCAGCAGCCTGTTACAGATTTTCTATTCTTTGTGTTTCGATGTGGTGGTTCTGAATGTCACATTGAGACGGGTTTGGCTCTTGTCCTTTACTTCGGGTAAAACAGGCGCGGGCGTCGGAGCTGAGCAGGCTTGGTGGAAGGAAAACTCCAGGGCAGGGAATAATGCGGTATTGGATCCGGGAACTGGAAAAGTAAGAGCGGTCGAAAAGAGCAAGCTCGGAAGGAAAATGGGTGCTGTACAAGGCGTCGAAGACGGCGAAAAGGGAGAAAGTGGCGATGAGGAGATAGAGGACGGAGACGAGATGGGAGATGACGAGGATGAAGATGAAGATGCCGGTCAGGATCGCCTTGATATCGATGTAGACGATAGAATTGTCGAAGAAGAGGGAGACTCGGATCTGGCAGTCGCATTAATTGTAGATGAGGAGTTTCAAACAGGTGAAAACGAGCCTGATTCCTCCAAGAAATCTGGACAGGCGGTTGTTAATAGTAAAATTTCAGCGGTGTCTGCGAAACGAGGAGTTGAGAAGGTGGCCTTTGTCAAGTCGCTAGGTAGTGGTCGTGTAAATAGTGAGAATAGCACCAATCCTACTAATGAAGTTAGGAGCAAATCAACAAGGCATGAATCCAAACAGGACAACATGGCAAAGGTAAATGGCGTTCCGGATTGGGTTCTTGATGGTAAATTGAGGAGCCGGCAGGATATAATCGCTGACACTCTTCACAAAGGTTTTGGGAAAGGTTTAGGAGTGGACGTGGAAAAGAGGAAGAGCTCATTCTTCTGGGATCATGCAGTGGGTGTTAGAAAGAGGTCCTTGGAAAACGTTGACTCTTTTAGTACAGGAGAAACTAAGAACTCAACTGTCATCGTCAAGTCTGGTAGAATTTTGGATGACAAGCATGCCGATGCAGAGGACAAGGATGCAGCGAAGGTGGCTGTGTTGCAATTACGAGGTTACAAGGAGGTTGTTGAGAACTGGAAAGAGCGGTTCAACAGCGATGATGAGTTGATAGATGACGATGTTCAGCGACGCCTCGAAGGTGTACGGGTAATAGAGGACGCGTTGCTGCTGAACGAGGATGGATTACTAGACAAGCCAATTCCCTCGAAGAAGTTAGGTGCTCATCTGAAGAAGGGAAGAAGTGCATTCGATCCAATCGATCCTGTCAATAACCCAATGTTACAAGATCCTGACACAACTCCTGGAACCTGGATGACGAAGACTGACAACGACATGTTGCGAGCTATCAGAGGAGATCGTTTTAGTGATGGCCTGCAACCCAAGGTGCTTTTGAGAGGCAACCTCCCTGCTACTGTCACTGTGGCAGATTTTGAGGTGGGTAGACGAGCCTCAGCAGTGGAGGCATCCAGTGATTCAATGCAGGAGAAGGAAGAGAACAGAAAGCCTGTTCTAGCTGTAAATAGCGATCTAGCCAGTCACGAGAATTTAATGGGTGTGAGTGGGGCAGGAAAATCCTTGGAGTTGAGCTCCGAGAGTAACGCAGATGAGATGCAATGGGGATATTATCCTGGAATAGGATCTCTCTCCTTCTCAAAATTTATGGAAGATTTTCTGGGGCAAGAGAGATGCTCTCTGAATGTCTTTATGGCTTGGACTACTCCTGCATGGGGCTTCACAGCTAGACATCAACGGGTGTTGGAAAGCCTTTTTCGCTTTCACATTGACGCTTGTGTGGTTGTTTTCTCAGACACATTTGAATTTAACTTCTTCAGCACATTCCTGAAAGAAGGGTACGATGTTCATCAATACGTTCTTTGTATTATCTGAGTTTAACTGAGCAGAATTGGTTCTTCAATTGCTTTGTTGTTTAGCAATTGATTGCAGTAGTGTGTGCAGGATCATTATCATTCTGCTAATATGCTCACTGGATTTATTTATTTGTAGGTACAAGGTCGCTGTGGTGCGACCAAATGTGCAAGAGCTCTTTGTAGACACTCCATCCCATATTTTAACTGCGAGTTTGCCAAAATGGAAAGAAAACCCACTCTTTCACTTGCATTTTACTGAACTCCTGAGATTGGCAGCTCTTTACAAGTGAGTTTCTGAGTATCTGCAAGGGTTCTTTCGAAATCTGAATCCGTGATTTGAGTGGAACAGATAGTATTCCTGGTTTGTTTTTTTCATACTCAAATTTTTTATTTCCTTACCACAGGACCCTGATGATGGTGAACGATTGGGATTTATGCAGGTTTGGAGGTATATACTTGGATATGGATATGCTTGTGTCGAGACCTTTGAACAGTCTACACAATACTGTGGGTTCAGAAATAACTGTGACTGGAGAATCACGACTCAACGGGGCCGTTTTGATCTTTGAGAAATCCAGGTTAGGACTTGCGCCTTTTCCTCGATCATTTAAGCTGGTCATATTTTTTTTGTTTGTTTGAAACATATCCAGCTTGGGCTGGACATAGCTTTTTCGCTGTCAGGCTAAATAAGCTGAATTTCTCACAACTAAACATGCATGTCATCAATTTCGTAGTTTAAATGGAACCAGTGTTTTCCGCAATTTGGAATTACCCGAATATATCTGTGCTTGACTTCATTATTATCGTGAAATTGTCTTTGAACTTTTAGTCTATTTCTGAAGAAGTGCATGGAGGAATTCACGAAGACCTATGATGAGACGTTACCTCAATATAATGGAGCGGATCTATTGACACGAGTTGCTAACTCCGCTTTCGATGAAAAGGGCAGCACATGGAATCAATTTCCTGAATTGTTGAATATTCAAGGGCCGTTCACGTTTTTCCCGTTGACGTCTTCTGGGATCTCAAAGTAATTTCAATCTCCTGCTTTAAAACTGATTAAATCTATTTTTTAAATTTCGTACCTGGCGTGGCATTTCGAGAACTCTGGTCTCCATGTATGCTTATAAAGTATCTTTCTTTCTTGTGGCTAGGTACTTTGATGCGCCTAAAGATGACATTCAGAAAGAACAACAACGGGAGCTGCTGACCAAAATTTCCGAAGAGGCAATTACTGTTCACTTGTGGAACAGTATTACATCGGACATAGTCCCCGATGTAAACAGTCTTGTAGGAATCATTTTAAGTCGGTCTTGTCTGCGATGCAACAATGTTCTATGATAGTTTGTCTTGGATAATTTTTAACCTGGGAGCCTTTTTAAAACCAACTTGCCTGTACCATATGCACACTTATTAGTATCACACCATCTTTTACGTGCCGAGTGAACCCAGTTGTCGGACAACTGCCTGCAGCGTAGAATCTGGAATGCTTACTGGTGAATCGTGCTCACCTGTTGATGGTATGGGATATAATTTGGATGAGTTGTTCTGCCAAGCAGGCTTGTTAGTGTAGACATATTGAAACCGTCCCAAACCATTTGTGGTGTTAGAACCGTCAACTGTACGCACGTGTTAAAAAGTGCCATCAACTCTGAAATGAACACTGGGTCAGTCTACTTGTGCTTGTGCCCAGGCCTAGGTGAACTGCATTAATCCTGATGTTGGTTTCTCCTCTGAGAAACTTGGTGTTTGTGCATGGAATTTGCAGCTAATTACAGTGAGATCTGTCTCGACTGTTGGTGCTTACGGACGGTGGGATGCAAGGACGATGCTGATCCATGTGCATGCAGATCACAGATTGTGAACCACAGACCTAAAATCGAGGTTTGATCGCACAATCTACTTCTGCCTTGGAGATCGACAAAGTACAGCCGTGGTGAGTGAGGTGAATATAAATGAAATATAAAAATGCTGGATAAAATCATGAACAGTGTTGTTACAAAAACATTCATCTAAAGCAAAGATTTGCAATTAATCTTCTGAAATTAATGAAACATCTTGAAAATGTATAGAGGGTGTGTGCAAAAAGGTTCATAGTAGCTAGGTGGTGCAACTAAGTGTTGCATTACAAAAATGATATTTTAACTGGGTGAGAAATAATGAGAATTAATATTGGAATGAGCTTGGATAACAATGGTAAACAATGAACTATGTATTGATGGAAAGTGCAACAATGCCATCGTTTTATTACACACATAAGTTTCAAAACGTTATAATCTTAGGTTCTACCGAAAATTTTATAAAACCACCTGATTCTTTTTAAATCCCTTGCCTTTCTATATTTTCGTTCACATAATTCTACTCAAGTAGAAAAGCAAGAGGTACTAAAGAAAGGTAAGAGATTAAGCTCAAAAACATGCTCACATGCTACCACTTTAATAAACAGTTACAAGTAATATAGACTAATGACTATACACTAATTATTATGGACTAACTATGTTTAATTGACATGATATTCTTGACCAATTAATCTAACTTGATTTTTGAATTTGAATTTGTTAAGAAAACAAATCATATCAGTCGAAACAATTTTTAAGATGATTTTAATTGTCTTTGATTTATGAAATTGAATTTAAACATTGAAAATATCTAGTTTTAAAAATTATTTAAAATATATTTCTTCAAATTATCAATAAATAACTAATAATTTCACAATCATTAGTATTATGGATAATAGTTTATTAATATTTTTTATAAAAAATAAATTAATACACTTCGTAAATAAAACGAATGTATTCAAAAATTTAACAAAATACACCTAAATATTTATAGATTTTATAACTTTTAGGTGCAAAAAATATTATAATCTTATAACTTAAAATCAAATGTTTTAGGTATTTTTCATATAAATAAATATTTTTACATATATTTTATATGTATAATGTTTAATATTGTATTTGATATTTATGTATATGAGATTTTGTTGTATCTATTATAATTTTTGTGATTGCTACTACAATTTGCTACCCATTCAACATATCTTTAATGTATTTTTATTCCAATTTTTAAAAAATCAATTAAATAATTTTAAAAATCTTAAACAAAGAAAATTTGATTCGCTTAAAAAATATTAAGTAAAGATGGCTTGTGGTGGATGGGAGGTTGTGGTGGCATTAACAATATATATGTATGTATATAATTAAATCAAAAGTTGCTATGTAATCATTTGATAATATTATATACTTCAAAGTTAAAGTATCATTTTTATGTTTGAAATATTAAATAAACTAAATTTAAAGACATATTAAAAACAAGAGATGGTATATTTCAATATTCTAAACACTTTGTATAGGTATTAAATTTAAAAAATTGTAATAACAATCATAATTGACACTAAATTCATAGAATTATTAAATTGATCTAAGTATTTTGTTTAATTTATTTATTTTGCTACCAAATTTGTAGACATGAATTTTTTGCTTTATTCTATTTTTTGGTCAATATTGGATTGTCAAATGCACCCTAAGCATGCAGGCATGCTTTTTAGTCAATTTAATTTGTGTAGAGATCATGTGGGACATAGCGATTGAGATATAGAGTTAACAATTCTCTAAATTTAATGTGCTATAACAAAATATTGATTCAAACTTGAACATTAAGTTTAAGAACCTTCAATACTTAAATTTTTTGATTATTCATTCTTAACTTATCAATTTTTTTTTTATTATTATTTGGTTTCCAAATCGTTTTCCCCATTTCAGTGATTGTCATGTATTATATGTTTTTTATTCTGAAAAATAAAAATCAATTTTACTTGGAAATTTTGACATTCAGCTCATTCACAACTTTGTTATAGATTTTTTAGCTTCACTTATCAAGATGTAGAGAAAAAAATAAAAAATAAAAAATCTAAACTACAAAGAAAGCAAGCAGATTCTCCACAAAGGCTGATTTAGGCAGCATTAGTGCATGCCTATAGCATTTCGACTTTTAATTATTTGAGGCACATATACATATGTACATACATTCTAAATCAATCAAGCTTATGTATCCTTGATTAAAATAGATTTTCATAATATAACATCTACCAACAAATCACAAAATACGATTTCAATCAACCACAAACATTAACTCATCAATTCAAATATTTCCTTCGTAAGTATTGTTTCACTGTATTAGTTCTCCCAAATCATTACCGTACAGTCAACAAATAAGTTAATCGAGAAATCAATAAATCAAGACGGGGGGGGGGCTCAAGTACATAAGGCTCAGAGCATCCCCACCCGTGCCCCGCTAAATGGACCCTCCTCCCAAGGGCAAGTAAGTGGTGGTGTGGCTTAATGAGTACACCTAATCTAGTCTCACCGGTGGGCACGGTAAAGGAGCCGGCAAGCATGGGTACATACCATGTGGCGATGTCAGACCACGGGCTCAACTTCGTGGTGTTTATTAACCAGCACACTATAATGAACTTTAGTGTGGCTCCCCCATCCCCCATATTTAGCGCGGTCCCCTCTAAATTTGGTATTCTCCACGATTTTACAGTGCAGGGGCCGCGACGGGTGGGGCGAAGCAGGCACGCCATAATGTATCCTCCGATCAATTAAATTGGGCTGATGTGGGCAGGGGAGTGGGGTTCAGTGAACTGCAAATCTTCAAAGGAATCGGGCACAATAAAGGGAATTGAACTATCGCGAGTGCGGCATTTCTTGTAAAAGAAGGTACTCAGCTGTAATGAGTGGTTGGAAAGATATCGAGGGTGTTTGGAGGTATGTCCATTGAAAAGAGTGTCTTGATAAAGAAATACCCGTAAAAGTAAGTGAAGGAGTTGGATCCAGAGACTTTTTCCCACGTGTCATTTCCTCATCTCCCCCGACTCCTGCCTCTGCCAGTACTCGCCACGTAGATCACCGCCTCGGGTAGTCGGTCTGACTCTGGGAACGTTTGTTCCCAGCTCTCATTAGTTTTTTTTTAGCATGGGTACGTTGGGAACTTTTTGCAAGCGGTTCCCATCGTATTTTGTTTGTTTACTTTTTTTTTACTTTTTTTTCGTTTTTATTTTTATTTATTTTAAATTCACTGATTATGGATCATGTCAAGGGGGTTATGATAAGACGTTTCTAAAAAATATTTATCAGTAATTGGATAAATAAATGAGACTTGGATTTTTAATATCCGTCAAATAAAGTGGAATTGTTTTTTTCATGTGTACTTTATAGTAAAACATTTAGATACATTAATTGATGTCTTTTTCCATGTGAATGAAAGTAGTGAAAACTTTTTAAAGACGTATCTACGTGTTTAATTGAATACTTTAAAGGAAACCATCATGTTTTACTTATTTTTTAAACTTTGAACTAAGACTATTCATAATGTTGTAGTGTTTGTAATTAAAGAGCAATCAATTTAAAAGTAAAGTGCTATTTTCACACAAATTCTAATTTGGTGTACAAAATATGTTATAGTGGATTGTAAAGTATCAAACCATATAAACAAAACAATACTTTTTCTTTTTTATTATTTAAAAAGGAATTGAATCCCCTGTGTTTAAACTGTTATAATTGGGTGTTCTTTGCTCATTTGATGTTGCTTAATATTATTTGAATGTATTTTTGAGATAGACATTACTAGAAGTATACACCCCAAAAATGTAGTGATGTTTCTTAATTGTGTTTAGCATGTCAATTACATCCAAAAACATTTCATAACAGGGGAATATATTTCACATTTTGTTACAAATTTACAGTGGATTTTAAAGCTATATCTACATCATTGACAAGTGAACTTATAGCATGCCTACAAAAAAGACCCATTGCAACGTTCAAGGAAAAGTGTTGATGAACATAAAGAATTTGTCTTGAGCATGCCCAAGTTGGGTATTAGGGTTTAAGATTGTTGAATCAATCTTGTAGTAAAGAAATGGTTATATTCCATTTGTGTCAAAAAATAAGATAATATGACATAAAAGAATTCAAGTTGCTTACAGTTGTTTTTAAAATGTTACTGTTTCAAGTTTAGTTGTATTTAAAGGTATCAACAAAAGTATAAAGGTATGTATATACATAAACTTTGAGATTAATTGAGTATATATAAATGCACACAATTGTATGGCTCAGAATATTATCGAATGCATATTTATTGAATTTACATCGATTGGAGCACAATCGTAATAGATATGGTTAAAACAAATGGTGTATGAGCAAAATATCGTTGTATTGGAAAAAAATTATGTGAAATGTGTTTTTTTGGCAGAAAGTTTTACAAGCAACACACCTTTATTATTCATGCATTAACATCATTGTTTTTTCACTGTAGTGCACAATCCAAGTGCCTTTTGTAACTACATAAATTGGCTAATTTAAAATGAAAAAAAAGTGAAAAATGCAAAATGAAAAAAAGGAAGAGAAGATAGTCTCTAATTGGTATGAATTTTTAATATAATATGTTGTTGAAAACTTAAAAATTTTATTTCTCATTTCATGTCGTGTTATGAACATGTAAAATCAAACTAGAACATACATGTGACTTACAATAGTTCTAAAAACAGAGAGTTTATTATTTATTATCGCACTTTTGATAACAAACAGGCCTTCGTTATTTATGCATTTTTCCTCCTATACTTCATTTTTAAAATTTTATAAAATATATAAAAATAAAACTCAGCACAAACCTTTCATTTCAGTTTTGGATTTCGTGGATTTTTCTTTTAACATTTTCATTAGGTTTGTTACATACAAAATCAAGGTAAGTTACTAAGTCCATTTATAGTAAGAATTATCATAAACTTCAATTAAAATGAAAAGAACACAAACACATTATATGATTAACAATATTTGTATTTTAAAGAACGAGATTATGAAATAGATTTTACCAAGCGGCATAAGATTTATTTAATTATCTTATTTTAGTTAAAATAATATAGTATATATAAATAGACTGTATACAACAACTGAAATATTCTCTCTCTCTCTCTCTCTCTCTCTCTCTCTATATATATATATATATATATATATATATTTTTTTTTTTTTTTCATAGAGGTTTAAATTTTGGTTTCCAAAAGGATCATAAAAATCACACAATAAAATTTTGAACGATATTGATGCTTTTATTGTCATTCTTTAAAGCCGATAAAATTAGATGTCGATTCACTTCAAAAATTTTATGCTCTCATTGTAATTAGCATGATTGATTTTCTCTTAAAGAATCTCACAGGGAAACACCAACATGTAAAGACGAGGATGACATGGATGACCCTTTTATTTATTTATTTATTTATTTATTTTCCAGATATATTTCTTTAAATGAGAGGCCAGCAATCTGACACGTCATCTTGAAACTGAGGCACAACAAACGACTTTCCGCTTTCATGGATGAACTGCCCTTCTCACGACCAGTTTCAAATTTCATTCGTCAAGGACAATATCATTCATCCGCATTACTTCGTCGATGTTGGAGAAAGCCATTATGTGGGACCGGATAAATTTGTCTTGGGCCAATGAAACTGGGTCACGGGAATGAACTTGGAGGACCTCACAATGTGAAAACGGCTATTTCTGAACCCCTAAGAGGGAGGTGGACTTCTCTTTCCAATCGATGATATTATCACGGCTTAAGGAATGAAATACAGTCAGAAAGCAGCTACGTCATCCGTTCGCAGTGATAGGGCGTTGATCTGGCATTGTTATAACCGACCCGACGTATCACGCTGTGCTCTGCTCCACGGGTGGGGGCTTGTAATCGAGCGCCACCTGTCAGCGGGGGGACGTTACTCTGTGTGTGTCAAAGTTTTGAAGGCTGGGCAGGCCGACAGTTTTCGGGCATGGTCTGCGTCTGCAGAACCTTCTGAGATGGGCAGCACCACGTGTGCATCGTTCGAAATGGCACTGCCCGTGAGAAGCGCGCCGGTGACAGATGCTGCTCTTCGGATTGCCAGCCTCTGGCCTACGTGGCCACGTCATCTTCGCAGCTGAGTCCACGTCATCATTCACATTTTCCCCCTGCACTTGTGTCAAACCCTGGACAAAATGTACAACTTTTTCATTTATTTATTTATTCATTTCATTGTTTAAATCAGCTTGAAAGAGGCATTCGTTCTGATGTGTTTTCATTTATGGATAGGGACACAAGTAACATTGAGCATAGTGATTGTGAAGGATTGCTTATTTGTGTGTATTGAATGTGTTCTTAATTTTATTTATTTTTTATTATCACTTTAATTATTTTATCCTCTTCTATTTTTCTTTTTTTGTAAATGACTACAAAATTCAAGACGATGCTATTACATATGTCATAAGTAAAACTTAATGGAGATGAAATTCTGTTGTGTAGATTAATGGCATGGACTCTGTTATTTTTTTGCTTAATTTTTGCTTAACAATGTGTATATATATATATATATATATATATATTATTTTTATGTATTTTAGCAAATTTTTTTTTCCTCTTGCGAATTTCATGAAGTTAAAATAATCTTTATATTAGACTTACACAAGGATGTAGATGTTAATAATATCCAATTATAAATAAAACTTGGACTTAATAATAAAAATAAGCAAGTCGTTTCTTTTTAAAAAAATATATGTATTCTTAGTGTCTTGGAAATTCTGAAATTGAATCTTAATTTATTATTATCATTATTATTATTATTATTATCATATGATAATAATAATAGAAAATTGTCTTCTGTAGAAAATTATGGATATGTCAACTCAAAAAAACCATGAACTTCTAGAAGAATTTAATGATAATTTCATATTTAAGAAAGTGTTTTTTGGACGCAGGTGATATTAAATGAAAAGACTTATATGTATTCAACTCAAAAGCATAATAATTTAAAGTACTTGTTTTTAGTAATATGTATAAAGTTTTATTGGAATTTAATTATATGACGCATAAAAAAAAAGGATAAATCACTATGATGATTATCAACAAAAATTATATCTAAAAAGAAATAAATATGTAAATGAACAAATCAATCAAAATGTCAAACTACTCAGTAGATAGTAAAAAGAAAAAACTATAGATCACCTTCCATAGTTTTCATGGATGCATGACATTGTTGCCATTGTTACTTGTCCTTGTGATCCAATACTTAGAGATAAAAATAATGAGCTAAAAATAAATTTTGTATCTTGTAATTTAACTTGATTTTTTTCATAGAGAATTTTTCTTTCTAAAATAAATCTAGACTCAGTTCTTTAAAATTTTAGGAAACTTTGGATAATCATAGAAAGTTTTTGCTAATATGCATGTATGTGTGTATATGTAAATAAATTAGTAAATAGAGGAAGAGAAAAAGGATGTATTTGTTTTATTTATTTTTCTAAAAACCAAAGGTTTAAAAGTTGATTTTAAAGAATGTATTGTCAAATCTTAAATAAATGGATGAAAATATGATTGACTTCGTCTACAATTAGTTCATTTAATGTCTTTACACTCTTATGTAATAAATATATTTGAAATAAATAAATGCCTCCCCCCCCCTTTTGTTTTTTTTGTTTGTGCAAAGACTTGAAATACAGACCACATTTTATTGGGTTAAAGTTTGCAGGCACATGGGACCTCAGAACTACACTTATTGATACCAGACAGTTGCTACAACCTGTGGTTCATGCCATGTGTTCCCCTTCCGCACTAAGCACACCATTTAAAAAATATAAACTATCAAATTAAACATCCAAATTAAGTTTTTTTTTGGAGGTACCAAACTTATACAGGATGCATCTAAAATCATATTTATGTTCTCGATTTTTTTTCTTTTTGTTCAAAGTATAAATCTTTTGAGATAAATAGTGTGCCATTGAAAAATTGAATTCATATGATGTTGTCATATTACAAAAAAATTATGTTTAAAAAAAAAACTTCGAATACATCTCCAATTTTTTATTTTGTATACAATACAAGTTTTAATATTTGCAATCATACAGGTAGGTGTGAGCGTGTGTTTTTTTTATTATTATTTTTTTCTGTTTTTATTTTTTATTTTTTTTATACATGCCATCAAGACAATAATTAAATAAACGGAAGTAAATAGGCACTATTCATCAACCTCGTTGTAAAAATTTGACTTTGTCTTTAATATGTTCCTGTTGTGTTTGATGAAATATATAAATTAAAAAGAGTTTTGGAATTCATCAAGTATTTTTTTCCAAAAGACGGCCTTTCATTGTTCCATGCATTGAAGATTTCAAGTCCACAACAAGGAATGAAAAAGTTCATTAGCAAAAGTGGTTTGGAATCTTATCTGGAGTAGCTTCCAAAATAACATTAGGAATAACAAAAACAATTGTAAAACATAGATGTTATTATTCAAATCCTTGATCTGCAAAGCGATTTATTTTGTTGCATTGTGAGACTTCAGTGCTAGTGTGAAACCCTCTACAAAAAATAAAATAATAATACGAAGAAACACTTCACCACTCATGCCATGACGCGTGTCACAGGTGTGCTAATAATCCTTCATTCGACTTTTATATTTAAAATTAAAATTATTGATTTTGGTTTTGTTTTTGTTTTTCTAATAGTGACAGGATTTTTGTCGTGGTGGAGACAAATAAGCGAGAGGGAGCACCCAACATAGAGCAGCAGCATTAAAATGAGGGCCCATGTCGAGGTCTTAAATTATCCAGCCGCTACTCCAAATTAGTCACCACGACTAGTGAGTAAGACAGTGAGTGAGTGAGAGTGAGTTAGTGAGAAAGTGGTTCCCCGAACCAGCATAACTCAATCACTCTCTCACAGAAAACGAATGCACGCATCTTTGTAGATGAATAAAAGGAACCACGGGAAGACAAAGATAGGGAGGGAGAGAGAAATATATGTCATGTGTGCATGGGGGTGGGGGGTATGTTCATGAGGCGGTGCCCGGGTGGATGCGCTGGCAGGGGGCCATGCAACGTGGACGGCGAGGGGGCAGGGGCCTTCTTTTGCGGCAACGTAGCCATGGAATATCTAACAACAAAGAACATTGAACCCCACAGCAGCAGAGTCAAGCCCGGGGGGGGGACGGGGACGGGTGGGACGGGCGGGGTAGGACGGGGCGGGGGCTTGAAGGGGACGGGGACCAGTCAGACTCTTCCCTTTCCCTTCCCTTTCAGTGGAGCCATCATTCATCATCCCCGCGCTTCCGCTCCCGCTCCCGCCCCTCCCAGAATCGAGAGGGATCATATTCATAGCTGAGCAGTGGTGTAATCGTCTCACATCAGTCCACATGCGATCCTATGCGAACCCAAGAGAGAGCTGTGCTGCTCCGAATCGAACACTATATTGTCCCGCTTTCATTCCGTCCCCCCGTCGCGCACCAGCCAATTCTATCCCCACGATTTTGGCTTCCACCGCTCCTGCACCTTACAACAACAATTTGTAGAGAGATCCAACTGTGTGTTGTGGCGCGTGCAATTTTCCATAGTAGGGTTGCGTAGGTATGGAGCTGAGTCTCTCTTTCCCTTGCGTTCTCTGAATGGCAGGGCAAGTGGGTGGTCGGTGTCCACGTCCAGGTCCTTGGTGACTGCAGGAATTGGTCTGGGGGAACTGAAGAGTAGAGTTTATTCGAGTTCGTTCGTTCGTTCGTTCATTCGTGCGGTTTGTGTGTTTGTGTGTTTGTTTGTTTGGAGTAGATTGCAGTGGGTTTTGAGGGGATCGTAGCGTGCATAGTTGGTGGTAGTTGTGGCATTTGGTAGTGTCTGGGAGTGTGTTTACGGTGGGGGTCACTTCTGTAATGTGAAGGAAATTGAGTTCGAGGAAGGGTTGGAGTGATCGTGGGAGTTGATAGGAGTAGGTAGGAAGTTGCAAATTTTGATGGGAATGAGGTTTGAATGCTGTCTGCAGCACCACTGCAATGAGTTTGGGTCAGCGGGGACGGCGAGGTTCCGCTGATCCTAGTGGTGAAGTGCTGTGAATGTGAGACTCATGAGGGTTAGCGCATTGAATCATTGTTCGGAGTTCAGAGCGCGGAGAGGGTAGGTCGGGTTGTGAAGTGGTGCAGTAAAGAGCGTTGGCCAAGTTTACACGATGCCTACCATGATGTCGCCGACGATCCAGTGCTTTAGAGACCTGGTTCGGCATGTCCTGATTTCTGGTTCTTTCTATAAATAAAATCTTCAGGAGGAGATAAGGCCGTTGAAGTTTACTCTCGAACAATGTATTGTACTAATCTTCACTATTTCCCTTTACAAAGGTTGTATCGCTTCTGGTAGCTTCACTCGTCTGCGATCCCGAAACATGAATTTTTTCGCGATGAAATGTGGGCCCGCCTCCGAAACCTAAGAAAGTAATCGTAGTTCGAAATCCTATTTTCGTCGTATAACCGTATGGTCGGTTCATTTGAGCATGTAAATCTTGTCCTATTCAAGAAACACCCGACTCTCATCGTTCTCGAAACACAACCCGGGGGCCAGCCTTCCGCCAATCGGTGGGGATTCCTAAAAGCAACTGGAGGAATTTCGCAACTTCTTTTCTTTCTAAGCTTTAAAGAAATTGAATTGATAGGGGATGGTCCCCGCCTACACACGTACATGTGTCTCCGGAGTGGTTGGGCCAAATTGTGGGCCAGGATGGACTTTTAAGCAGAGCTTTGAAGAGTTCGGAGAAGACGAAGTGAAAGTAGTTCGAGTGGGTGTTTGTAATGCGGAAGACTCTGCTTACGAATGTGTAACACAAACCTTTGTCTGTGCAGGTAAAGCCACGAGTGGTGCATATGTGAAGTTTTGGAAGGGTAGATATCGTGTACATCAGGGCATGGGAGGAGAATTCCCTAGTTCATCCAGCATTTGACGTGGGGAGTCCGACATGGGTAGTCAGAGGGAATTAATCAACATAAGAGGCGCTCAGTTATATCTTATTGATGGCGAGGAAACCGTGATCATGCAGAGCGGCGACTTCTCCTTGAAACTGTTGAAGCAGACGCATTCGCCGCTGGCTGTTGTGGTAGCAAATGTTGGCGAGGTGCAATGGCCTGTTGGAAAAGATGCACCAGCCTTGAAAGTCTTTCACAGGCGTTACACTTTCGCTTTGCCTGGGCTGGTGTATGGAATGATCCTCCCTGAAAGTACCTCCGCTGAAATTTTGCAGCAGCTGGAAATCATCCTAGCCGAGTACAGCACGTTCGAAACGCATCATGAGATCGCCAACTCAGGTACTGTTCTCACTGGATTCGAAGTTGTCGATTGCAAGTCACTCAAAGACCTGGACCGTTGACACATAATCGTAATTATAAATCTTCTTTGTATGTTGCTGCCTGTCAACTTTGAGTGGTTAAAGATGTGAACAAAAAATCAGAATTCGACGTCGACCACGGAGGGTTATAACTTGTGCAGATTGGTCAATTTTTGTTTTCTTGTGATGGTGTGATATTGACGACAAGGATTTCCCTGTCACAGTTCAAAATCAATCTACATCATCTGGTGTTAGAGATAACGCAGGATACTGGACGGCAGTAGCTCCGGATGTAGAAACTTTAAGCTCGCGAGTGGCACGCCAAATTAGTAGCACATCTACCGTAGTGGCAAATAGCATAGTAAAAGGTGGAGATTGGGCTGCGTCTGGAATCAAACATGGAGCGTCTCTTCTGAAAAGAAAGGGTCCAGATTCTTCGGGAAGTGGTGAAGGTAGGGTCAGCCCTCGCATGATGAAACGGATGCAGCAAGCGCGCCGAATGTCTGCTGTAGCGAAGCTTATGTCCAGAACTCTTCTTAAGGGCGCTATAAGTGCAACGGGCCACGTCTCAAAAAACTTGGGCTTGGATGTGAATGCCACCACTAGTGGGTCGCAATACGGCTCGCAGGAGGACACAGCCCGGAATGTTGCTGTAGCTAGCGTAGATGCATTTGGGAAAGTTGTGGAAGCTGTTGAAACCGCAGGGAAGTCGCTGATGGATGCAACCCAGACCGCGGGCACCGACATGGTACAGGAACGGTTTGGCGAGCAAGCTGGTCAGGTCTTGCAAGATGGGCTTGGAGCTGTGGGGAATGTTATCAATACCGCGTGGACTTTGAACAAGATGGGTGTGAGGATGCTGTTGCGGATGACTGCTGCTTCTACAGCACTCAATACACGATCTGGCTCAAAGAGCACATCTACTACTGGTGATGAGAGCATGTCCTCTCCTACGTCAACCGCTTCCATGCCAATGAGACATCGGTCTCCGCCTCCGCTGCAACATCAGATTACTCTCTCTCCCCAACACTCTGCGGACCCTGTTCCTCTTGATCTCTTACCTAATGCGAGCGTGCACAGCGGGCAAACACTGCATACTTCACAGTTGTTCCCTACTTCGGCTGAGCAGATGAGGGATCAATCAGTGATTGGGTTACCCGCTCCTTCCCCCATGTTTGTGCCTGTGGGGAATTACACATCGGTTATTCCAATAGGTACTCCTGCTAATAGTCCTTTCCAAAAATATCATCGGCATGTACCGCAACCGCAGCCTCCATTCAGCTTTCAACCCCGAGCGAACACAAAAATGGAGTAAATGTACAAATCACGATTATGTATATGTGAGGGTGGTTCGTGACGTTTCTGGAACTACGTTGTGATGAATTGAAGACGATTGAGTTGTGGAGTGTTGTTGTGTGATGCATTATCGCTGCAGCGATTGAGGGCTTGAGAATGGTCATACTCGTGCCAGGGGAGGCATCAGCAGTAATTAATTATATCCGCAACCATAGAAATTGGCGATTTTGTACAAAGAACTGCACTCGCAGAGAGCAGGACCAAAGCACATGGTAAAGGGGGCTTCACCATGTACAGTTGAGAATTCTAGACCATGAGATTAGAGCTTAAGGATGATCTCCTCTATAATTGCGAAGGTTAAAGGCTCTTAGTAATCATGGTTTCGGAAAGTTACTGTCGCAACATATCCAGCACTTGACCAACACTTGGTAATTGCATCAATTACAAAGTGACTAAGGCTATTTGATTGGGCGTAAAGTTGCGGTGGTACACGCCGAAAAGTTATAGAGAGTTGGCTTTTTTTGTTGTCCAAGGCATGGTTTGGGACGTTTGAAGATTGATCGAGATGGCTATAGTACATTGAAATCGTTTTCGATCGAGGGAGGGAGGGAGGTTTAGCGAACAGGATTCAGAGAAGTGGTGGTGGAGATATTTTTAGATGTATTCGTTCTCGCAAGGGGAAGAAATCACATGGTAAAGGGGGCTTCGACCAACATATCTGGGGATGAGTTGGTTTGATAGGAAGGGGGATTATGCATTCTTAGTGGCATCTCACTGTCCATGACATGGTGAACATGATTGTGACAGACTACGCACACGTGTATGCATACTTCGGTTCGTAACATGCTGAACTAAACATTCTTACCTTAGTTAAACTAGGAGGCCTCTTGTTGTTCACATGCGTATTAATTCACATATTCATTCATGTGCGATGAGTATTTAGCTGTATAACTTGCTGTATACTGAGATTCGAGGCAGTGCTATACCTATTTATAGACCTCGTCATTTGGAGTATATGCAGTATCATTTTTAAACATACTTTCCATTTTTGCGATCTTCATTTGAACATGTGGCGCACACATACGAATCTCTCTTATGTTTCTGTGTGGGATTTTGTTACCATCCCAGACATGATATTTCTGGAGTTCTCAATTTTGACACCTTAGGTTCCATCTACCTGACACAGAAATAACGAGAACCAGAGCCAACTGTTACATTCTAAAGTAGTTTCGAGAGCCAGGAACCTAATCATTCTTTCTCACGAGTCGTCCCACAAACGGACATTCGATTCCATTGGTGATGTTCACAACTTCGTATTGCAGCCACAATAGGGGGAATGAAAAAGTGACGTACTCAGCACCACCGGAAAAGTAGGGTTACTTGCGTCCTTCGTGGAACTTTGTGAAGAAGCCGAGACTGAAGCTGACCTTTGCGAACGACACATGTCCTGACACGCGACAAGGGTAACTCAACAAATCGATCACTCTTCAACGTCTGTCAACGAGAGCAAACACGACTGGAACTTCCACAAAGTTACCTCCTGGGGAGAAAAGAAAACTCTAAAATATCCAGCCCACTTGCGTTATGGTTGCTTCTTAGCCTCAGGCTCTTGCCACACAACTCGTCGAATCTCTCAACAAAAATAATATATATTATCCAAGTAACAGAGGCAATGCACAAGCCTGATATTTTTAGGGGAATAATCGGTGCACAAAACACTATGGAATTGGAGCTGGTTGGTCTTCAAATAGTTGCCGACCTTCCTGAGACTTTCAATGCCCTGTGAGGATCTAGAGATGGCAAGTTCAACAGCCCCCACTCGTCACAAAAATATCCTTGCCACCTCCACCTCACCCTGAGGAATCCTTCGCAATTGTATTTCACCTAGCATTTTGGGGGGGGGGGGGGGATGTACCCTGCAGAAACACAACCTACAGAACACGCGCCGTCAATGGACCATTCATTCAAACACGTTCACTCATCACTGGTTCCGTGGTTTAAGTACCCAGAATCTTCGCTGCAGAACACGGATTGCCAGTCTATTCAGGGATATCAGTTATTTTGGAGCACAGTTACAATCAGCAGATATAAAAAAGGACAAAAAAGGAAGGAAAAGAATATGATCCTTCTCACGATATGGGGAGTCCTAACCAGCTGGGGAAGTCCATCTGTCCCACATGAACTGCGTTACTTTCGATTCCGACCTTCGATAGAAAGCACACCAGCTCCCTGCAACGCCATAAACTGCAGTGCACAGCGAGCAAGCATCTTTCCTTCCCTCTTCTAGATACACATGTATTATTATTGTTATTAATTGGGTCTCTTTTTTGTCCTGTGTTTCATTTTCATACCTGACAGAAACAAGACGATGGATCAGCGATGCGATGGAGTGAGCAATAAGGTGACGATGCTTTTGTAGGGTTTTCGGAGCTCGTCACTGCATTGCCCCTTCAGCTCCGCGCTCTTCAATGTCGACGAAGCTACTAGAGAGAGAGAGAGAAAAAGAAAACAGAAGAAAAAGCAAAAGAAAAAGAAAGATCTTCCGATGAATCATCCTCCCCTCGTTCATCCATCCACCGCATCCGTCGATGAATGTCAATCGTTTAAACTCCGTCCACTTCTTTCATTCATTCGTTTGTTGGTTCGTTCGTCTGTCCGTTTTGTAGTGCATTGAGAGAGCCTCACTCGGCTAAGAAAGTTGTGCGTTGTGGATGAAGTGATGTTGTCTCAAAATGAATTGTAAAAGAAATGAGTTTTTATTTTATTTTATTTTATTTTTCTTATTTATAAATTAATTTATGGTGGATTAAAATATCAAACAAAAAATTACTAATCATTCACAATTTATATATCTATATATATATATATATATATATATATATATATTCCCATATTCCACTTACATTATTATTATTTGATTGAAAAGGATTTTTTGTATGCTGATCAGAACATAAACCGAGTATTAAATAACATAGAGGTTTTTAAATAATTACCATTCCAATTTTTATTACTTAATCTTTATTTTTTGTCAGATGGTAAAACATAAATATGAGGTTTAGGAAATGAATTAAAAGGAAATATGAGTTTTGTTGTTAGATAGCATCATTACAACTTTTTAATTTGGTTTTCAAATATATTTAATATGTTGAAAATTAAATCATATTTTTTATTTTAGTAATATTTTAAATATAAGTTTTATAATTATTTATTAATGCTCTAAATATAATTTTAATTTGAATTTAATTTTAGAATCTTATTTTGAATTGTAGAGAATTAAGGCTAAAAAATTGTATAAAATTTATTTTAGAATTAATCAATAAAAATTTCTAATTAAAATTTATGCCGTATTAAAGATAAAATATACAATGTATATTTTAGTTCTAAAGATGACTTGTAATTTATTTATTTATTCTAAAAGTACATTTTAAATTAACTAATCTTGAAAACATAAAAACTGATAAAAGTTATATGTTGCCATATTAATAGCATTTGTCCACCATGCATTTGAAATTTCTTTATGTTGTAGCATACACCTTGTATTCTTATATAATGTGCAATTCATGTGTTTTGCATCTCTATTTTGTTAAAGTATATAAAAGATAGAAAATTATCATTCAATACTATGTTGCTTAAAAAATTGTTTATAAATCTTGGATATATATATTCATGGCCATTAACATTGCATAATTTTTAAATTCCTATGCATGTTTTTTATTTTATTTTATTTTATTTTAAATCAGAATCTTAAAGATCTTATAATTGTTCAAGTCTTTTGACTTTTGATTCATAAAATATACAAAAATATTTTTCAAAAAATCATCAATAAAAGCAATAAAATATTTTGTCTCTTTATGAGGTATTGTCATTATAAGACCATTTACATTAAAATGTATAAAATTTAAGAGTTGAATTGCTCAAGTACCATTTTTTGTTGGAAAAATATTACAATGTTGCTTTTTTTAAAAAAAATTGACTATCAATAAATAAATATATTTATATTTCTATATACAAATATATATATACATATATATATATATATATATATATATATATATATATATATATTATGTAAACTTTAAAAATAATTAAAACTAAAAAAATCAATTGAATGATAAAATATTAAAATAAATGTACAACATGCTGTTATATGTAATTTAAATAAAAAAATCATCTAAAAATACGATATCAATAGATATGTAATAAATAAATAAATATAATAATAATAATAATAATAATAATAAAATAGAAATAATACAATAGATAATATCTATTTTATGAATATCTTATAGAATCCCTTAGGTGTTTTGGTTGGCTATAGTAGTAATTTTAAAAACATTGTTTGATTACTAGAAAGCTACAAAGGAAAAATCTAATAACTTCCATAGTTAGAATGCAAGTCTTAAGATTTTGAGAAATTTTCTACTTGTTATTTTTGAAAGTTAGTATATATATAGAGGCAAGAGTAAAACCATCTTTAATCATGTTCATGTCTATTTTTTTACTACAATTTAAATTTAATATTCTCTAATTTTTTTTTATTAATAATTGCTATGCTATTATTCTATTACTTTTTAATATACCAATTTTTAGATTTTTTTTTCTTCATTATATATGACGATGGTATATTTTTTATAAGTGTATTTATATTCATATTGTTGATATCACATAAAGAAATTTTAACATTATTATTGATCTTAAAATAGATAAACATGGAAATACATACACACACATGTATATATATATATATATATATATATATATGTGTGTGTGTGTGTGTGTGTATGATGCTTGAATTATAACTAAAATATAATATAATTTTATATAAATTAATATTTTTAATTAATATAATTAAATTTTTTAAAAGCTTCTTAGGTAATATCAAATTTTAACCAAAACCTTAGATTATTTTATTTTTTTTATCATTAATCATTTTATTAGTCTACAAAAAGTTATATTTTAAATTACATGTCACATAGTTTCATAATTTTTAATGTTATATATATATATATATATATATATATATATATATATATATATATAATATTATCTTGTATAATTAGTTAAAACTATATAAGTCAGTTGTTTACATGTTTCTGGAAAAGAAAGTATATAAACTAGAAATACAACCAATTATTAAAACAATTTATCCATGTTGTAACAAAGTGATTTTTTTAAAACTTATACAATAGCTGAAAATTTTCTCAAGATCAAACTAAATAATGTTTTTTTAACTGCACATGTGTCTTATCTTTTTATCATAATATGTATTATATAATGCAATGTTTAAAATAAAATAAAATAAAATCTTAAATTATTATGTGTATCTTTTTTAAATTATAATTCAAAATCAACTTTTAAAAAATAATTTAAATTAGAGAAAAAGATGCTCTTAAGTTTTGTCGAAAAATAAAAAGATCTTAGAATAATTTGTTTCAACCAATTTATTTCTATATTATGGATCTTAAAGAATTTCTTAGAATCTAGTTGGCAATTTTAAATATATAAAATTTTACTGAGCAAACTATCTGTTAATGTTTCTTTTAATTTGTTTAATATTTCAGAAAAAATTTAAAACTATACAAGGTTTTTTGTATGTAAAATATAGTTTAGAGAAATGAAAAATTATAAAATATATTCAATATTAGAAACTAATAAATGATCATAACATAAAATATGTATTCTTTAAAAATAGAAAACAATGGACTAAAAGAGGAAAAAAAAACAAAGAAAAAAAAATTCTTAAAGACAAAGGTTGTTATTATAATATGTATTCATACTAAAACTTTACAAGCCTAGTGCACCTTAAGACATTCGTGGATGAATAACACAAATGCAATAAGCATACTTACATTACTTGCCAAAAACATAAAAATATATTTTTAATTTAAGATTAAAAATAATAAAAAAATTAAAATAAATTTTTTAAAATAGTAGACATCTTAATAAATATTATATTCAATAATTTAGACCTATAAACCAAGCATGATAATAAAGTATAATTAATTTCAATTTAAGTTATGTTATTGTAAAGAAT